AAACACAGAGATTGTTTTTTGGTAATTCTATAAACAAATAATTTGTCGAGTAAAATTAATTGATTAGTAATTTTGTTGTATTATCAAAATCAGCAGATCAGTAGAATTTTTCAGAATGTGTCAAGATATGACTTTTAACTTCCAAAAAGATGCTGGTAGGGCCAGCTGGTAGTATGGTGGTTAAGGCTGCTGGATTCAACCTAGCAGACTGTACATTTCAAGTCCCAGAACTATCAGTGTGAAAAACATGCCAGGCACATTGTGTGTGTGTACCCAAATCCCAAGAGGAGATTATAAAAGAGACTGTGGTGTGATCACCCTCCCGGAGATGTGCTTTCTCACTTTTCTTCCTCTCTCTCTCTCTCTCTCTCCCTATCTCTGTCTAGGGAGCTCTGGTACTCTACAGCAAAACTTTTTTCTTAAGGTGCCTGTAGGCAGTACAGAATCATGTTTTCAGTGAGGATTTTACAAGGCAAGAAATACCTTGTTTCCTAGTTTCTCAAACCATAAAATAATCAAGAAGGGATCTAGCAAAGAGCTGGTGAAAGTAAAGAATTTTAGGTAATAAACTCAGGCAGTCTGACTTCAATGCTCGGGCTCTTTATCACTATGTTAAGAATAACTACAGAACACATACTTGTGAATGTTTTGGTCATATATTAAGTACAAGTGATAGAAGTTTGTTTATTTCATGGCTTTAAAAGTCCAGGGTCAAGGAGCTGCATCTGGTGAGGATTTCCTTGTTAGGGGGGACTCTCTGCAGAGTCCCAAGGTGGTACAAAACATTACATGGTGAGCAGAAAAGAGGTAGCATGTTGGGACCAACAGAGGGCCTAGTGGTTATGTCACTGGACTTCCACACAGTCAACCTCAGTTCAAGGTCTGGACCTGGTGGCTTGAAACTCACACAGAGTGCATCTACATGTGTACCCCAAATCCCAGAGCAGAATGGAGGAGAAGGGATTGAGGCATGGCCATCCCCTGTAATGGTGGCGGGGGGTAATTTCTCACTTTCTGTCTCTGTGACAAGACTGTGAACCCTATAGCAAAAATATCTCTCTTAAAACAAACAAACAAACAAATGGATAGCACATCTGTGTCCTCCACATCCATATTACTCTTTGGTCTCATTCCTTCTCCTATGAACCACAAGAATTCAATCATGGGGACCCTGTTATGATGACCTTATAGTCAATCTTAATTACCTCCCAAAAGCTCCACTACTAAATTCCGTAGTCAAATTGAGTTTCCTCCTTCATAATGCTATTACAGCCAAATTTCAACACATGAGTTTTGGCGGGACATAGTGAAACCATAGCAGTGAATGCGAGTTCTTTTCTAATGCCCTTTAAAGACTTTGTGGATACCATTCTGTGACTTGCTTGTCAAAGAACACCTGAAATCGTGAAGAAGATATGAATATTTATCAAGGATGATAAGACACTAAATTTCCAAATTTCCAGGTTGTATACAGTCACTGCAAAACAAAACAGATAGTAAAGAGAGAGTAAAGAGTTCATTTAAACTCTTTTTACTTCAATATGCAATTGTCTTTACCATTATATTTGCCTCCCTCTCTTCTCCTCAAGAAATCTCTTACTTCTGTCAAGCACCGTGTTGAGAAATGTCTAAGGAAGGTTTTATTTATTTTTTAATTTGTAGCTTAAAAAAAAACTTCACTTTAGATTTCCGATAGGTCATATTTAGTGCCAACATTTTAAAGACATTGTAAAAACTTTCAAATATCAAAGTGCTCTGTTTGGGGAGCTAAGTAATTTGGTGAGGGAATTTCTACTTGAAAAATCTTTGTACATCAGTGTCAGATATAAATTCAATTGTCAGCAAGCTGTGTCAGAACAGATTTCTTGTCATATTTGGCCACAGAGCAGAGATTTATTGAAAATAGTTGATGATATTGCTCTCTGAGCTGTTTTACATAAATAGCAGTGCAGCGAATGTGTTCAGTTGTAGCCTGTGTGTATGTGTGGGTGTGTTTGTGTCTGTGTATGTGTGTTTCTGGCTCTCAAAACTGACATCCAGGGGAAAAAAATATCAAAAAGTATTTTAATACATACTGTTTTATCCAATTTACTTTTGGGTGATTATTTTTGTTGTAAGCGAATGTAGACTTCTATGCCCTTTCAAATGAATCATGCATCAAAATAGTTCAAAACCAAAGCTTTAGAATACTGTCTATTCTATTTCATGTTAGGAAATAAAATAATGAGCATTTTTGAGATGCAGAAACATACAACAAGTTTATTATTTTTTTAAAGAAATGTTATTATTTGCAAATCCTTTGTAAGCAGGTCAGTGGCTAAAATGCAAAAATATTAGAAGATAAAATTTCTGCCTTCAGTAATGAAAGACTTAGAAATGGAATATAAATTTAGTCTCTTGGGTTCTCTAAGTTCTCTAACTTATAGATTCTATGGCTTGCCAAATTATTTTATGTCTCTCCATCCAAATTTGTTTGGCTCTATACCAGAAGATACTTATGAAACTCTTTTTCCTAAATGCTTTGTAAAACAGTGTTTACTAATATCATTGCTTATATTGTGATATAGTAATGTTGTTAAGAAAATATGCACAATTTATGATGGAGATGCCTTCTACATCTAAAGGGGATTATTGTCACATGTATTTACAAGTAAAAATTGTCAAATTCAAAAAATACGTTGTGGGACCAGCAGTTAGTGTAATGGCTATGTTCTGAACTCCCATGTAGCCGACCGCGGTTTAAGTCCCGGACCTGGTGGCTTAAACTCACGCCAGGCGTATGTGCATGCATGCCCAAGATCCCAAGAGGAGAATGGAGGAGAAGGGATTGCAGCGTGGCCATCCCCCTGGCGTGGGGGGATTTCTCGCTTTCTGTCTCTCCGTCTCTCTCTGTCTTTCTGGCGAGTACACATGCCCTATAGCAAAAACCTCTCCAAAAAAAAAATACTTAGTCACTTGGCCATCAACCTTAATAATTATGCAGTGATCTTGTTTGATCAGTAAGATGGATGAAATTCAATTGACTGCCTCAGAGTCTGAGAATGTGAGTTATATAGAAATAGACTTTCAGTCAGTAGGTGTTGTGGCAGTTAAGATGGCTGGATGCCATATGGCCAACAGTGTGGTTCAAATTCCAGACCTGGAACCTTGAAAAACACACTGGACACTGTGTGTGCATACCCAAAATTCCAAGAGGAGAATGGAAGGGTTGCAGCATGGCCATTTCCTCCTAGGGGGTGCTTTCTCACTTCCTCTTTGCCTTTTTCTGGTGAGCACATGCTTCCTATAGCCAACTTAAAAAAAAAAAAAAAAAAAGAAACCTTTATGACCCTTATACATTTGAGTCTGTCATTATTAGCATTATCATAATCATTATAGTAACTAAATGCTCCAGGGGATTAAATAATAGATTAAACCATTTTTGTTTTGTCTAGTAGGTTAAAGTGACAGATTTGTAAATATTATTCATAGGATATTCTCTTTATAAATTCACTCAAAAAGAAGTATTTCTAGCACTATATTGTGAGAAACTCACTCAAAAATAAGAAGTATTTCTAGCACTATATTGTGAGAAACATAAACACAACAAAATGATAACCTCCTTCTTTAAAGGATTTATAATCCTTTGACTTGTTTCTAGTTTGAATTTCTGATTCTTAAGTTTCTTGTCAGAACCAGCAGATGGCATAATGGTTAAGTTGCTGGACTCCCATGTAGATGACTGCAGTTTGAGTCCAGGACTCAGCGGCTTAAAACTCAGCCAGGCACATGTGCATGTGTGCTTAAAATCCTGAGAGGAGAATGGAGGAGAAGGGATTGCAGTGTGACTATCTGCCCTGGGGGATGATTTCTCAACTTTCTCTCTCTTTTTGTCTCTCACCAGCAAACAAACCAAAACCAAAAAAAAAAACTAGTTTACCCAAAGCATCTTCTTTAAAGTGTCATATATTTAATGTAATGGATTTGTATTTCAAGTTAGAAAATGTAAAAAAATCTATAAGTGTTGTTTCTCATAGATTTATACTAATGCAATTTAATTTGTATTATTAATTATGAAGTTATTCATGAAATAAGGAATTTGATGCTGAAAAAATTTTCTTTGGTAAATGTGTATATATGTGTATATATGTGCATCTTGAACTCCAGTGACTGACATTAAGGTGCAACTAAAAATTCATATATACGTATATATTTCATTATTAGGAATATACCGTCAAAACTAACCATTCCAGTAGCTGGCATAAGTTTTATATTTGGGGAACAAGAGTTAGGGGATACTAAACATTTTATAAGAGGAAGATTGACTGCAATTGGAAAAAATATTTAATGACATGATATAACTGAGTGCTGTTGAAGAGCAGAATTGAACAATACTGGCTAAACCTAGAAGATATTGTGTAAGTTTTTTATCTCTAGGTTTCAGCCACTGCAACTAAAATTTGTTGATATTCCCAGAAAACATTTAGTTATATTTAAAATAATATGTCAGTAACCTGTACTGCTTTGACTATTTCAAGGTGCTTTCTATTTACAGATAAATCATGTATGTGAGTATCAAGAATACATTGTGCCTTTCTCTCTGCAGCATCTCCCAATAGCAGATACATTCTTTCACAGAATTAATGAAAAATTCCCAACACTTCCTCAGCCCACTACGCAATATACTTGATTTATGATCAACCTAACATATCTAGTGTCATGGTTTATTTCTAGAAGAAAGGAAAAAGAAGACTAAAACATTATAGTAGTCTGTGGTGACTTAATCGTTTCTTTGTTTGGAGCCATGGGAAGTTTTAAACCATAGTGTTCCATGGTAAGCTGCTTGAGGAATGAGCTGTCTTTTCTAAAGCAAAGAGATTTGTGAAAAGAGGTAAGTAAGGAAACCTGTATGATACTATAAAGAATATGGGATGTGAGGATCTGAAATTTTAGCCAATTCTTTGTGCTTAGTAAGCAGGTACACAGGGTTCAAAAAACCTATTGACATCTTTGTTTTGCAGCTGTCGTGAGCGCCATCCCTGTGCCAACCCTAGAAAGTGCCCAGTACCCAGGAATCCTCCCATCTCCCACGTGTGGATACCCACACCCGCAGTTCACGCTCCGGCCGGTGCCATTCCCAACACTGTCAGTGGACCGAAGTTTTGGAGCAGGAAGAAGTCAGTGTAATGCATTTTCCTTACTTTTAATTGAAAAAAAAAAAATGAATAAGAGTAAGAATGTATTGTGAAATATGCAGCATTTTGACTTTCTTCTCCCTAAGAGAGGTTGACTTGCCTATGAATTTTGTACTAGAATTTCCCTTTGCATTATCGTCTGTCTTTTGGGTCCTAGCTCATGTGCTTCTAGACTGATTCCTTAGGAGTCTTTTTATGGCATAGTCCATTGACAATATGAAGGGTGATGGAGGGTCAGATCAAGTGGTTCCATAAAACTGTGAAGTGGGGGCTGGCAGGTGGTGTGGTGGTTAAGGGCACTGGACTCCCACATGCCTGACTGCAGTTCAAGTACTGGACCTGGTGGCTTGTTTCTCACTTTCTCTCTCTCCACCTCTCACTCTGTCCCTCTCTGGTCAAATTAAAATAAATACATAAATAAATAAAATAATTCTTTTTAAAAATCTATGATGTGGGAAAGAGGGAGAATATATGAAAACAGAATAGGTTATACAATAATATAGCACAATAAAGTGCAGAAGGTCAGTGACAATTTAATATACATTTTTAAATAAGCAGTAGAGCAAGTTTTGAATGTAAGAACAAGGTAACCATACATGTTGACGATGGTGAATATGTTGATGTCCTTGATTTGATTATGTACACAGTACATGCTTTGGAAAACCACACCGTATCCCACAAAGGTATACAGCAATTATATGTAAGTCAAAAATTATAACAATTATTAAAAGTGAAACAACAACAACAAAAAAAACAAGAACAAAAGACCTATGCTGTGTTAGATATTTAAAATGATAGATTCTCATAATTATGAAGTTAGTACTCAAATGACACTACCCAACATAATCCTATTTAGTATCTGTTGGTTATATTTTTATATATGTTATTGATTGCTGATGAACCAGTGTTTAGCGAATGCTTTAGCTTTCTTTAATCACTTAGCCTTTTTAGCCTTAAGGATTCATTCTTGGTTAGAAAAGATTTCCAGAGTAGTATTTTAGTTTTTTTGAAGGAAGGTGGAGATGGAGGGAGACTCTAACTATTATATACACCTTGATGATGTCTCCTGTGCCACTTATCTTTTTTTATTCTTTGAGAACAGCATTTTTAAATCGATGTTATGGCTTTCATCTCTTAGTTAAGAACAGGTGACTCAGCATCTCATGTGAGATAGTATGTTTTCTAATAGATATGATGGTAACAGCAATAAAATATATTTGTGAGGTAAGCTATATTTTTTCCAACCCAACAGGGACAGCTCTAAGAAATCATAAATCGTCTCTATGTAGCAAGGTTAGAATTAAAAGGCATCAAAGATCTGCCAAAGGAGAATTAGATTTATTTTCCCTTTTCTCACTGTACTTCATGTCTATAGAATAGAGTTGTGTGCAAAAACTCAAAGAAAAATAGCCCCCCAAACTGTGTGAGAATTAAATGAAAAACAAGTAGGAAGCCTAACAACCCCAAATTCCCAAATCCCAAGACAACTAGAAACATAATTCCAGTCATAGAATTCAGAACCCATAAATCTCTTCCTCACTTGGGAAATGAACTCTCCCCAAACAGAAAAAAGAAATCTCTAGTTTTAATTTAGTGTTTCCCCTCAATGAATCATTGTCTATACAGTATTTAGATTTCATCTATGTTCTCTGATTTAAAAGGAAGTATGAGGAGAAGACGCAGAATGACTTTTTTCGAGTCCTTTCGGTATGACTATTACAAGCCAAAGCTTACTACTTTTTTATTGGTAATTATTTATTTTTATTCATAGTGTGTTCCTCATTTCTTTTCCCCTTGTAAAAGCATAGTCTTCTTCTGAAAATTTGTTCACTGAAGCCCAACATCCCATTTACTCTTTCTTTTTCTCTTGAGTTGGCGCATGCAGCATGTGGAGCTGTCTCTAACTGGATCATGGGAAAAACAATTACAAAAGTTAAAGTTCAATGGAAAAGAAAACTAGCAATGGTCTGGTATGAAATCTGATTTTTATCTGTGGTTAAAAGATATTCAGTATCACATACTACTCTGCTCTGGTACAGGATTTTGGTCATAGGGTGACTGTATGTGGAGGCAGGAGGTATACAAGAAATACCTTTTGCTTAAGTTTGCTGTGAACCTAAAAAGTGTCTGAAAAATAAAGTCTAAGAGTAAAACTAATAAAATCTAATAGAAATTCATTAATTAGTTAATTAAGCATTTAGTCTTTTGTTTGTTTGTTTCTTTTTTTGGAGAGGATTTTTGCTATAGGGCACATGCGCTCACCAGAAAGACAGAGAGAGAGAAAGTGAGAGAGAGAGAGAGAATGCGAGAAATCACCCCCCAGGGGGGATGGCCACACCACAGTCCCTTCTCCTGCATTCTCCTCTCAGTATCTTGGGCACGCACGCACATGCACCCAGCGTGAGTTTAAGCTGCCAGGTCCAGGACTTGAACTGCGGTCGACTAAATGGGAGTCCAGTAACATAGCCATTACACTAACTGCTGGTCCCTAAACATTTAGTCTTTTAAGTAGATTTTTTGTGTACATAATTTCTTTAAAACCAAGCACTACAAATGTAATTTTTAGCTTATATAATATATAACTATTAACTTATATACAATATAATATTAACTTATATAATATAAAATACAATATAATGTAAATATAAAATATGTAACAATTTTATGAAATTACATACAAAAAGATTATAATAAAGGATACTTAACAAATTCTTGGTAGTTTTTTAACCTTATCTGAAACCACAAGGCAGGGGCCAGCAGGTGACATGGTGGTTAAGGCACTGGCCTTTCACAAGGCCCACTGCAGTTTGAATCTGGACCTGGAAGCTTGAAACTCACACTGGGTGTGTGTGCATGCCTGCCCAAAATCCTAAAAGGAGAACAGAAGGGAAAGGGGTTGTGGCGTGGCCATCCTCCTGGGGGTGATTTCTCACTTTCTCTCTCTTGTCTCTCAAGCAAGCAGCTGTACCCTACAGCAAAAATATCTCTATAAAAAAATAAATCACAAGGCAATAAACATTCCACTCCTGGCCAAGACTTTACGGATTTTTAAAATATGTATTGTCATTCCCCCAAGTGTTTTTTTAAGAAATGTATGTGAAATGTAAAAGGAATAGGATCTAATATATGTTCCAAACGATTGCTTAGGAAAGAAAAATAAATAAATAAGCACCTCTTTTTCAAGAAACTAAATATTCTCTAAGTCACTGTCAGCCACAGTTTTTCAGCTCCTCAGTATTGGTTTCAAATGCCTTGGAGAATACTAAACATCCCCATTCTCTCTCAAGCAGAAAACATTTCATGACTTTGGATGGAGATGTCTTATTAGTCACCTTGAGAAACAGAGAAAAGCATTCTTAGGAAAAGAAAAAGTTAACTTTGTCAGATGTGGAGACTGATTCCTCCAAAGTTATCTGAAATACCTTTGTGTTTTACAAGAGATGAATCACGAAAGTCTTGCCCCCAAAACCTGCTGCTTTCTGAAATCACAAACAAAACTGAACTTCTCTCCAACCATAAGGAAAGAAAAGATGTATTAATAGTACATTTGCATCACACACATTTGCTGACCCATCTATAAAGATTTACATAATTGTGATAACAAATACTTCCTCTCAAGCAACTGCATTCTGTACTTAGTTATCGACAAATGAGCTAGGAACAGTGAACAGCACAGTACTTGGAAAATTTCAACAAATTGTCTTGGGCTTCATTTCTTTTTTAAAAAATTTCTTTCTTAGAATTATTCTATTTAACTTTATTTTATTTATTTATCTATTTATTTATTTTAATTTGACCAGAGAGGGACAGAGAGAGAGAGAGAAGGAAAGTGAGAAAGCAAGTTGCCAGATCCAGGACTCAAACCGTAGTCGGCCATGTAGGAGTCCAATGCCATTAACCACCAAGCCACATGCTGACCCCTTAGGCTTCATTTCTACAAATTATTACAAAATTGGTGCCCACATTTACTCATCTCTACAACAAGTAAGTGACAGAAGAGGAAGTTAAGTAGTTTCTACTATTCCTTTCAGATCCAGCATGGTCTTAGTGGAAAAGCTGTTCAATTTTATCCATGCTATTTTTCTGCCCCATTTCTCCCCAAAACTGGAAATCAACGAACAAATTGAACCTGACCTAGATAAAATCAGGAACACAATTGAGATTATGGATCATCTCTAGGTCCTTTTCAATCCAGGCTGTGAAGAACTAAGGTTATTCAGAAATACTGCATGATACTATTCTCAGATGAATGAGTGAATTGGGTCCCTAAGAGATATTCATGTCTTGAAGTCTTTGCTTAGAGCTACTAGCATGACATATTTCTATCAAATATTGCAGTTTTACATTGAAGAAAAATCCTCATTTCCATTTTTGCAATATTTTTGCCACTTACTCTGTAGCAATTATTTATGTGTGTTGACATTAATTATTATAAAATGCCTTGAGATTTGACTCTGCTGTGTAATTGTATGCTGTTTGTACAATGAATTCAGACTATTTTATCAGCTGAAAATGAGTGCCTTATCATCACGTATTTGGTTCTTGCTCTACATTATGAATTGCAGGGAGGCTGCACTCTGTGGGTGAAAGGAGCTTTTCTTTGCTTTCAGGGCACTTAGCACAGCTAAATGTCATGTCACCAAGCCAATTTGTTTCACACAGGTGTCCTGGAGCTGGTGCCTGAACTAGCTAAATGGGCTCATCTGAAATGAAAGTATTTCTCTGGGGGAACAGTTGCTATTGTTTGTTTAAGAGTTTTCACTTCCTTAAATGTCAGCCAGTGCTGAGAAGCATTTATTTTGCTCTACCTAAAATATAAGAATTATACATTGTCTGTGGAAACCCTATACCTCGTCCATTGCATTCATTTTTTATTCACATATTGTAGTTGAACATATTTACAGAGTACTGTGTGGTTTTTCAGTACATGCAAACAATGAGTCATGATCAATTCGGTCCAATAAACATAATCTAAAAATGTAAGTTTTATTAAATTTATGATCGCAGTAATATTTTAACATAGATCGTTCATTTTGAAACTGTAGAAGAAATAAAAAGAGAAAAATGAAGGAAGGCAAGATCACAAACATGTTATTATTCCTTTAATGGCTAAAGTCCTTTTTTAAGGTATGATGTAGATTAATTGCAATCCATCTTCAATAGGGGAGAATTACCTAAGGCAGACTTCTAAGGAAAGTTGTGAAATTTCTTTCCCTGGACAGATATTTTTAATGTGGTTACATGTACCCTTTAATAAAAACCAACCCACTGGAGATAAAAATAGATCAGAGAGAAGCAGCCTGAGGAATCTCATTTGTGAGACTTGCAGTTCACAGAGGAATAGAGAGACCCTCGGTCAACTGAAAGCCCAAGCATTTTAAGTCCTCCAGAATTTCCTCCATGAGATTATAGACATCTTGAGATGAATAATTTTTTCTATCCAAGGATTACCTCTAGAGCTCTTTCCTAAAAGAGCCTGTTTTTCTCTGCTAAGCAATTTCTGCAACCTCATTTCGTAAGTGGCCTTTGAGACCTGTGGCTTGAAACAAGTGCTAGAAAGGAGGCCTACATTAAAGTAGATCCTCTTGTGGAGACTAAGAATGAGCACAGGACCCATGTCATTATTCTCAACCAGTGTCAAAAAGATGCCCCTGTTGGCCATCAGCTAAATAATTGAGCCTTGGGACCAGCAATCAGAGGTTCAAGACCACATAGCCAACTGCGGTTCACGTCCTAGACCCAGTGGCTTAAAACTCATGCCAGGCACTGCATGCCCAAAATCCTGAGAGGAGAATGGAGGAGAAGGGATTGATATGTGGCCATCCTCCCAGGGGGCAATTTTGCATGTTCTTTCTCTCTCTGTCTCTCCAGTCAACACGAGTGCCCTATAGCAAACATTCCTCTAAAATAAATAAATAAATAGAACTATACTCTCAACAATCTCATTACAATTCTTATTGGCTACAAACATATAAGCATTCAATTGTTCACCTCCCCTTTATGATCTTAGAAGCAAATTTAGCTTTTTTTTTTTTTTTATAGAGGATGAATGCGCTCACTGTGGAAGAGAGAGGCAAACTGAGAAAGTGTGGGACAGAAACTGCACAGTGCCCTAGCCACCATGCCACTCGCTGGCCTGCAAGTTAGCTTTTTATAATGCCTACATGAAGTCTTCATCTCCTTACCTTTATCTGAGAGCAAACACCACCAAGAACGTGTCTTAATGTTTTCCATGCAACCCCACACCTTGGCTTTGAGATTTTGCTTGCATTTCAATTCCTCCTTTGCTTCTTCATTTTTTCTTCTCCTTTTTGACAGGCTGTCACTATGTAGAGATCCTCCAGTCTCTGCCTCCAAGCCAAGACTCCAGTGATACATCGCCTCAGTAGTGTCCACATCTTTTTTGATAGGATTTCCTACCCTGAAGATACTTGCATTCAAAATCCCCTTGCCCTCGGGGTTCTCTGTAGTTTACTGTCTTGATTATTTTCCCTTGTTTGAATATATCTTTTATCAAGTTTCTGCCGGACTTTTGGTCCTGGTTGTTTTATGACTACAACTTGTCAGCCTTGTATCTTTCCATCTCCATCTGTGCATGGGAGGTTTCCAGTGACCTAGAAGACCTTTTGCATATAGAAGAAAAATAAGTGCAAATGCCCTCTGAAAACACCTTTCCTGTCTGCATATCTTTAATATTACGGCTTGATCTTGTGTATCTTTACTCTCTTTTCCCTTTAGCATTATCAGATTTTCTTTCAATTCCTCTGCCCTCTACTGACCTGATCAAGCCTCCCAGAGAATTGTTTCAAAATGATCTCACAAACTAATTATCTTGAAATATCTCCTAGTTAAAAATTCTCTTTCAAAAGTGGGATATTATCTTTTAGCACTGCATTTTTTGTTCTACTTTCCCAAGAAAACTTTTTTTTAAGAAATATTCCTGTTTCATTGACACTTAAATCTACTATGCAGTTCTTTTGATGTACAGTTTAACCTGGACCTGCTGACTTTGAAAATGAATGAATAGTTAAAGCTCTGTGGCAGGTTCTTTGCAAGAGAAACTGCCTTCATAATATTTTAGTCTGACTCAACTGTGTTCTCTGGAGAAAAGGTGTATTTCCATATACAATGTTGTCCAAATGCCCACAGGCTGTCACAATGACTATGTGAGAAACTCTTCAACTATAGTAATCTGCCTTAAAATTACAAGGTTTCCTACCAAAGAGGAAAAAACTGCAATTCTTTATTCAGGCAACTTGTTCTAGCAGAGTCATCTCTCATATAACTTTTTAGATAGATGTGCTTCTATTTTGTTATGGAAGATAATGATAGTAGTTATTATTTGTATCATTTTATTAGCACTGCCTCTGAGCACCCTGTAACACTGATTTGTTTGACAGTTGACATGGCATGTTTAAATCACAGAAAAATTGGCATATTGGCTGGTAGATAATAATGCAGCTGTAACCGGGTTTGGTACATTGAATTTCACTGCCAATGCTACTTAGGAAAAGAGAAATAACTCTTTTTTCTTGCTTCATCACTTGTGATTACAGGGCCCGACAGTTCAGGCAATATAGTCAGAGCTCAATATATTGTACTATTCTTCCTAAAAGATAGATCCCTGTCCTGTTGGATCTACTTCTTCTGTTTAAAGGAGAAGTGCTATCATATTCCATATATGATAATAGAGGAATGATGGTGTCCTTAACTTGGAGCAGAGATTGAACAGTCTACCATCTTTCTCTGAGCTGATCATAGGCCCTTCAAGTGATTAAGAGAAAATAAGCTTTGTCTTGAAATATTAAATGGCTTTTCTGGTCTCTCTTATAGCGGTGAGTGAAGGACCAACCACCCAACAACCGCCCATGTTGCCTCCAACTCAACCTGAACATCCTAGCAGTGAGGAGGCACCGAGCAGAACCATCCCCACAGCTTGTGTTCGACCAACCCATCCACTTCGCAGCTTTGCCAACCCTTTGCTACCTCCACCAATGAGTGCAATAGAACCGAAAGTCCCTTACACACCGCTTTTATCTCAGCCAGGTAAACTACACATTTTTTTCACATTTAGAATTATTATCATTGGTGCATCTACTTACATGCATATGTAGGTGCCTAAAAAGGCATACAGGTAATGTAGCTTTCCAATATCTATTTCAAGCCTAATATGCTCATGTCTGTTACTGTTGTTTGAGTACAGCTCTTCATTATCTGCCTTAAAGCAACTAACTGGTTGGACATGTGTTTTGTTCCTTTTTGAGGTTATCCATGAATCCTGTATGCCAGTCTATCACTTATAATATGTACTGTGTGTATGCCAACCAGAGAATACTGAAAATATTCCTGATTTCCTGACTCTTCACTCTGCCATATGGGTTCTCAGATTTAAAGCTAGGTTTTAAGGCTAGAGTTAAAATTACAACAATCTGTAAAACCACTTCTTAGAGAAATGCATTTAATCTCATAATCTTGCTTTGTGCCTTTTAATAGACATCTTCCAAGACTTCTTACTTATTTTAGACTACCAGGGTCAGAATGGAGTGTTAGAAGCAGTGTAGAGTTGAACTTCCTAATTCTAGAATAAAGAAACCAAAATTTAGATAGGAAGTAATAAATCTATGTTGCCTTCTGAAAAATATCAGATGACAAGGATAAGTAGAGCCCCAGATTTCCAATGAAGCACTTATTTTTTTTAAAGAATTATTCATTCATTCATTCATTTAATTTAATTTGACCAGGGAGAGACACACACACAGAGAGAAGGAAAGTGAGAAAGCAAGCCAACAGATCCAAGACTCAAAGCGTGGCTGGCCATGTGGGAGTGTCCAGTGTCTTAACCACCACGCCACCTGCTGGCCCCAAAGCACTTACTTTTCACTTGGTGGCCAACTGGACTGAACCAGAGCTGGAGCCCATTTTGTTTTTGTTAGAGTCTGGGGTAAAAAGGAAGAATAGAGAGGTCAGGGTAGAGGAAGAGAAGAGTAGGAGAAAGTAAAAGAAAAGGAAGAAGAAAGGGAAGGAGAAGGAAAAAGGAAGAAAGGAGGGGGAAAAGGAAAAAAGAGGAGGAGGAGGTAAAGAAGAAAAAAGAAAGAAAATGAGATGAAAATACAACTAGATAGATGAATGATAGTTCACTAGAGAAATAAATACATAAAGAAATATGCAGTACTTAACATTGTTCAAAGTATTAGAACAATCCCAAATAATCTCAGTGTATCAGACATAAGATGGTACATTTCAGCACTTCTTTATAACCAGAGGTAGCCTTCTTACTGCATACAAATAGTTGGACTGGCTAAGTTACTTTGTGCAAATACACTTGGGTAATTTTCTCAGATTCATGCCTACAGCAGTGTCAGTCAGTACATTAGTACATAAGCCTCATGATGACTATAAAACCTAGGAAAAGTAAGACAGCCTGTGAAATATGAATATTAACAATATAGTAATATTAAGAATAATCTGATTCTTTCTTAGCATCATATTAGTTAATTTGCATATGTCACCCCTGATGTTCTTAAAATGTATGTGACGTGTAGTAAGGATGCTCAGCTTGCATCCCCTGGGAAGTGGGGTAGACTGCAGAGGCATGGGGGAGTCCATTGCTAGGGAGGCACATTGCTTGGGAGGCTTAGGCTCAGTCCAGGTCATGACTTCATTCCACAGGCTCCTCTAACCCCCCAAAAGCCCTAGGATTTAAAATACATCTGTATGCCCAAGCCCCTTCCTCCACCCACTATACTTACATGCTCTACACAAACATTATGGAAAGGACCTGCTACTCTATATTGCCCAGAAACTCTGAGGTCTTTGACTGATACAGGAACACTTGAAGCAAGAAAATTCATGTAGTGAAATTACTATGTCAAGGGTAGGCTTCCTGGGTCTTCTGACTGCTTTTCCTACTGCAATACCAACCAAGAGACTGGTATTCAGGATATATGACAAATTAACTACAACCACTAACAATAACTAATTTTTATTAAACATGTGTCCTATGATATTTTAAAGGCTATTTCAAATGAAAATTTTACTGTGGTAGTGAGGGTTAGTTTGGAGCACAAGTTTTGAATTCATGCCGTGTTCCAGAGCTGTATGATAGCAAAATTTAAAAAAAAAAAAAAAACCTTACTGTAGAAAGAACTGGCCCAACCACAGTGACATAGGTGGAAGGGTGATGCTACATGGTCCTAGGGCCATGTGGGAGTCCTGGAATGGAGATCCCAGGTTGACCCGAACACTCTGTGGTGATGCCACAGGTGCATCCCTGGTACTGGCTGTCTGGAAGGCCACAGGGTACATCACGACATAGTGATAACTTCTCAAGGGCACCCCCCACATATGAAATAAACACACTCTTTAAAACACGGAACGAAGGGACCAGCATATATCATAATAGTTACTTTGCTGGACTCCCACATGGTCAACTGTGGTTCCAGTCCCATACCCAGTGACTTGAAACTCATGCTGACCCTATGCATGTGCATGTCCAAGATCCCTAGAGGAGAATGGAGGAGAAGGAATTATGACATGGCCATCCCCCCTGGGAGGGTGGGTGATTTCTCATTTTCTGTCTCTCTGGTGAGTACACACATCCTATAGCAAAAATCTCTCTTAAAAATAAAACAAAACAAAACAGAACAAAAACAGCCAAAGGAAGAGCATCCACAATAGATGGAATAAAGAGCATTGTTATTTAATAGTTGTTGTTTTCTTCTATTAATAGTTGCAATGGTATTAAAGGTACTTTAAACAAAATCTGATAATGTAGCATAGATGAGTGTCTTTAAACTAAAGCGAACAGAGTCAGTTGTACTTCTCTGCACCTTCTCCATCAAATAATGCTCGAATCACAAGACCCATTCTCTGATATAATGCCACGTGAACACAATCTCATTTTCTTTTATTTCCCTGGTACACTCTTAAGCCTTCTTTTGTTTTACCATTCCATTGTTGTCGGTTTTTATTGGAGCTGTTTCTCACAAGCCATCTCTTCCTTCGTATTTTCCAGGATCTCTGCCCTGAATTTTTGGCTTGCTTTTATATATTTTTTTTAATCATTCCCATTAAATGCTGCCCCTCCCCTCTCAATGTGAGGTGCACACCACACCATTGCTTTGAAATCGTTAAATGTCTTTTTCCCTTTCACATTTCTTCTTCATTGTCTCCCTGTTATTCCTGTTCATTTCATAATGCCTTACCTCATGATTTTCAAATAAGTTCTCCCTACATTGCTCCTGACACATGGTAAATAGTATGCTTTTAAAAAGGGCTGATGTTTACTTATTCTAATAGAAAAAGAAAATTAGCAGACTGACAAATGTATTAGCTGTGACATTAACTACATGCTTCTTAGCTTAAAAAATGAAATACTTAGAGCTTTCAACAAATTTTAATTCTAAGAAAATCATTACTTTCGTCAAACTGATTGATGAAGTAAAGTCATTCCCTTGTCGACTAAAAAAAAAAAAAAAGGAAAAAAAAATTACCTCAAATAATTTTACTTCAGATTTCACAATAAAGGACTGCGTAATTAGTCATGAATTTATCTTTGCTTACCGCAGGTAATTACTTTAGAATATGGTAATGTGAGGCATTGCCCTAAATTGTAAAGGTGGTGCGAAAGGAGAAGCTCCTTCTACTTTGAAAGCTTTGAGATTAGGGTCAATGAAGAAGCTCTTTTCCCACTCCAATTCCTGCATGGGCTTTTCATGGGCAGTGTCACCAGTCTCTGCCTCCGTTTGCCTGCTATGTTGTCATGCAGAGCTGTGTTGGCAGCAGTTTTATATGAAGTTTAGGACAACGTGCGTAGGCAGTGACCGGCCCGATGGAGCTGCAGTGCACTTTACCGTCTCTGTAGTCGTGGTCATTAGAAGTCATTCTGCTGTCATAATGACTGAAATTCTGCCCACCTGAAATCACAGATTCATTTCTTCATTCTTTTCCCCTCTTCCACCTACTGAGTTGGAAATTTAGCTTACTAGACTCTAGGGTATTTACGGTGTTTCTTAACAATTTCATCATCCCCTCATGAAAAATTGGTTCTGCTTCCTAAAGCTTCATCTATAGATACGAATACGTGTGGTCTTTGTATGTTTCACAAAGGCTGTAATCACTGCGTTTTGTGATCCACAGACACGGACTTGTAAGTGATTTGGCTTAGTCCCCTTTCATGTTACATACAGAATGTTTGATGGAGTGTTGGGCTTATTGCATTATAGATCTGACATAAATTCTACAAAGGGCCAAGATCGGGTGTGGGCTTTTTAAAATTTGTTCCTTCTTAGTGAAAATTCCTTTTAGCTGTGAAATGATCAGCTGCACTTTAAATGAACCTGGGTTAGGAGACCATTTGTCTTGTGGGGTTGTAATTCTAAAGGGAAAAAAAAAAAACTGACCTCTGAAATAGTGATGTTTATATCACAGCCCTCTTCTATAACATTAGCTCCCTACAACTCTTGCATCTTTGTAAAACTGTGTAAGTGTGATATTGTCCTCCATTTACACATTGCATTTCTACACATACGTATTTATAAAAGCACAAATCCAGGACATTTTGATCTTTCCCGTCTTCGAGGGATCAATATGTCAGTGGACATGACAAGACCAAAACTCACTTCATTGTACTGCGAAATTGAGTTTGATTTTCCCCCTGCAAATCGTGGCACGCGCTCCAATTTGTCTGAGGATTGAGGACAAGGAGTGGGTGGAGGTGGCTGACAGTGGACAGAAAAGGCATTTGATTTATATTTTATAGCTGGTTGAGAA